TATATGTAAAGCCCTTAGAACACCAAGTGGCACGTATGATTAATCCTTCAATATTTTGTCTTGTTTTGCATTTCTTTTCCCATCACCTCCATTCACAAGTGAGGTCGGTTTAGAAAAGCTGAGCAACTAATTAGTCCAGATTACTGGGTGTAGACCCTATGGTGCAAACCCTATAGCGCAAACCTGCTCATAAACCATGCGCGATGCTGACCCGCCCGCAAGTGAGTTGCACCTGGCAGGTGGGAGACGCGCTCCTCAGACTTTGCAACAAAACGCTCTGCAGCCGGGAGGCCTGGAGCGCTCTTGGAGAACACACAGCCTTGGGGGCCTTCTAGCTCTGGATCTGAGCAAAGAGGGAGTTTCTCGGCAGTGTTGGGGGGATCCCGCCAGACCCGCCTCAAAAGTATCGCGGGAGACACCTGTGCTCCCGGGCGGGCGGCCGGGCCAGAGGGCCGGGGGCGGTCTGGTGCCGGGAATCACCCCAGCTACCGCGCCTCCCGGCGCTCACGCTCACATCCCCCCTCCCCTCCGCCCCGAGCAGCCCGCCAGGAGCCAGGAGCCCGGAGCCCGGAGCCGGGAGCCGAGAGCCGGGAGCTGGGAGCCGGGAGCCGGGAGCCGGCCGCGCTCCCCCGCCCGCCGCGCGCTAGGGCGGAGTTTCCTCCTCGGCTCATTGTTCTCCGCCCAGCGCCGCCCCGCCCGCGCGCTCCTGGGGAAGGGGAGGGAAGGGGGCGGGGGCCGGCGCGGACGGGACCGGAGTCGCCGCAGCCGCCGGCCGGGCCGCAGCCGCGCAGACACAGCCCGCGACGCAGCCGCCTGCGCTCCTCAGCCGCCTGGCTCGGCGCCTCGGCCGGCTCTGCCGCAGCGGCCGCGAGGAGGGGCCACCGGGGCGCGACTCGGGACGCTCGGGCCACCGCCCGGCCGTCGGAGCCACCGCCAGGCCTCCCGGAGAGGCGCCCACACGCTCCCGCCGTCCGGACCCTTGGCCAAGCTCGCAGCCACCTGCTCCGCGCCCGCGCCTAGGACACGATGCGCTCCGCGCTGGTGCTCTCGGCGTTTTTGCTGCTGCTGCCGCTCTCCAGTAATGGTGAGTGATGGTGGCTCGGGCTCCGCCGGGACTCCCCTTGTGCGGGTGCGCCCCCGGCCAGGCCAGCTGCTGGGAAACGCGCCCTGCCTCGTGGCGGGACCCGGGAGCAGCCCCTGCGCTCACTACCAGCCGGGGCCACACGCGGAGCCCTGACCTTGCACCAGCCAGGCCCCTTCCCACTCCCGGAGAACGCCGCAGGTGCCGGGATCCGAGCGTGGGTCGTCCGGGTCTCCAGGCGGGTGGAGTTGCGATGGGTCCTGTTCGGACAAACGGGGGCGCGCGGGCGCTGAGTGGGCTCGCGGTCTCAGAGTCGGGACTTGGGGCACCGCGAGCCTCCACGCTTCCGCTGGACCCCCAGCGTCTGATCACTTTTTTCTCCGCGTTGGAGCGGATAAGGGACGGTATTGTGTCGCCGTTAACTCCAGGCAGAGCGGCAGGCGGGGAGCTTATGATGAAGTCCCCGAAGCAGGTGACAAACCTCCAGTAACGGCCCTTGAGGCCATGTGTTTCGCGTTCTGCCGAGTTGTTTTTCCGAGGTTTGTGTGCTCACTCAGCTCACTTGAACCTGTGCTGGGGCAGGTGGAAAGGGAATAAGTGGATTTTCCACAATCCCAGACTCACCTGAGTGGGGCCCCTGCCTCCAGGGCACCAAGGGAACAACCCGCTTCTCTGTGCATGGCCAAGAAGGTGAGAGTTCCTCCCAGCCCTTTGTAGAGAAAAGAATTTCTCTCTCATGAAACGGGCTTGGACTGTGCCATAGAAACATCTCCCGTATTTCTTCTAAAGGTGAGAGTCTGGTGGGGCCGGTACTGTCTCAGAGTCCCTAGGAACAGCTAGGAGTCTCAGCCCCAGGAGAGAGAAGCATTTCTTTCTTGCCCACCTTAGCAGGTGTCTGCAGGGAGAAAGAGCCCTGTTTCCATTCTACAGTCAGGAGGACTGTGGTGAGTCAAGACAGAGAGGGGACCTTCTTCTTGGTAGGTGCTGCCTTTGGGACTAAAGTCTCAGGGGAAGGGTGGGGTGGCATGGCAGTGCAGTCTATTTTCTTCGTCACAGGGCACTTTGCTTGTGGGAAGGGGCTGGCGCTCAAGGAGCAAGTAGGTTTGGCATCCTCCAGGGAGAGGCCCTGAGACTCCACAGCCTGGCCTGAAAAGAGTGAGTGGGTGAAGGGGTGACGCCTAGAGGAGGGATTCCAGTGTGAGGAACAGTCAGGACAGCTCTGAGGATGGTAGTCACCGCAGATTTGCAAAACCTGCAGGCTTGAGAAGATGCAGGAGTGGGGCGTCTCTCCTCAGCCCTGCTCTCAGGTGGATGGACCTCAGTGTGGACCCGACGCTCACCCTTTCTGCTAGAAACCTCCAAGCACCATCCAGAAGGGCGATGGGCTGTGTCAGGAAGGCTGGGGTAGTTCCCAGTGCCTCTGAGCTTCAGGAGGCTGAGCTTGAAGGAGAAGGTAGAGGCTGTGGGATGAGACCTCTGTTCCTCTGTCCTAAGAGGCCACTCTGTCTGCAGCCACCCATAAAATGGGAAGAGCTCCAAGCCCAACTCCTTACTGGCTTCGAGGCTAGGACTGTCTTCCTTGGTACCTGTGCACTACCCAGAAACCCTGTCTCTTCCAAGAAGCCCTCCGCAAGCCTAGCATGGGGCATGGAGTATGGTAGGAACTTCATCTGTGGTAAAGAAAAGAGGAACCAGAACCCTGCTTCCTCTCCCACCAGCAGATCACCTGGACTTTCTGAGCCCAGGTCTCCAGTTCCTAAAATGCTACTATGGTATGCAGTGATAATGGGAAGTGCTTTGAAGAGTGTTAGCTGGCAAGGGACTATCACTATTAATAGTATTATTTGCTATGTTGAGACCAGAGAAGGCTGAAGGGTGCAGGCTTGGTGTTTAGTGGCTGTGGCAGAGTTAGGAAGCTCCCCTGGAGAAGGGCATGGCAACCCACTCCAGTATTCTTGCCTGGAGAATCCCATGGACGGAGGAGCCTGGCGGGCTATAGTCCATGGGGTCGCAAAGAGTTGGACATGGCTGAGCATGCCATAGGGACCCAATAAGGACTGCTCGCTCTCTTCTTCTGAAGGTATGGCTGGCTGAGTTGCAGTCATCTGGGAGGGTGAACCCCCAAACTGCTGAAATCCTGTGATTTAGTTCTAAGCAAGGTTTCAAGTAGAACAAGTGAATTATATCCAACAGGGCCCTGGGAGCTTACCTTCTATTGTAGGTGGGTCACACAGCATCAGCAGCATCCGACCCAGTGCCGACAACCCATTAGACCCTTTTCTGGTTTGATATCCACTTGGTTGAACCATATGGCAAATTGTACCTCTCAACCTGTTTCCGCATCTGTAAGATAGAATGAAAGAGCTGGGGAACATCCAGTGTCACTGTGACATTTCTGGGCTTTTGCCGAAAGGACAGGTTGACTGAGCACTGTCTTAAGGGTCTGATTATGTCCTTCGATGGATGAATCTTAGGCAAGGAAAAGGCAGCTAGAGGTGGTTGAAAACACTGGAACTTTGGATCAGACAGGCTTATATGACTGAAGACCAGATAGTGAACCTCTTTGAGTCTGTAAAAAATAACAACAAATCTCCATCTTGCAGGTTGTTCTGAAAAATGAGAGATAACATAATGAGTTTGATGTTGTGCCCAACTCACCGTCAGAACTCAAAAACTCCTGGCTATTATGATTAATAAACCATACATCCTCTGCCCCCAGCATCAGGATTCTGCTAATGTTTGTGGGTGTCCATTGCTAAGCAGTAATAAAAAAAACTGAAGCTTAAAGTGCCACGTGGTGTGGGAAAGGGCAGCATGTGTGGAGAAAGTGGCAGGATTTGGGAAGGGGTGATTTGGACAAAGTGAGGCTGGGATTATAAAGGGATTTAATTTTATTTTTAGTTAATTAATTAATTTTTTGGCCACCCCATGGGACATGTGGATCAAACCAGTGCTCTCTGCTTTGGGAGCACAGTCTTAACCACTGGACCACCAGGGAAGTCCTATACAGGGATTTTAAAATAAAAGGGTCAGCAGGGGGTGGGAGAATCCTTCCTAGGGTGGCCCGAGGCAGAATAAATTGCAGGGTGTAGCGAAGACACAGATCAGAAGCTGGGGATATGATGGGGGCTTCTTGAGGTGAGGGGGTCAGTGAGCTGCAGGGAGACTTTGGGGAGGAGGTGAACTTTCAGAGCCCAGAAAGAACATTCCATGGGGTGGGGTTGGGGACAGCGGGTGTTCCGGTGAGGTGCTGTTTGGGCTTTGAGGCGGGAGTGAGCTAGACAAGGTGGGGGCGGTACTGGGAGGAGACTGGTTCCAGCAGGCTGAGAGGGAGGAGCGGAGGGCTGGGGAGGTTGAGGGAAGACTCCCAGGGACACCAGGTGGCCGCTTGGCCAGGGCTGCAGGGTGTGGCCATCAGGGAGGGACAGAGTGGGGAGCTTGGCGAGCCCAGGAGGGCCCTCTGGGGGTCGCCCCGGACCTAGAGAAGGCAGGGCACAGAGGTGGGGGGAGAGGCAGCCCCACCTTTGCTTTTTTTCCTCACGATTTGGAGGGAGAAGAAAGGGTCCTGCTGAGTAGGGTTTTGATATCTCTGCCCCAGCTTTGGAAGCCCAGAAAGGAAAGGAATTCCACCTGAGGTGAATCCCCTGGGTGGGGAGGGCTGGAGCATTAACCCCGTCCATCCTCGGGTATCACCTCTGCCGAGCTTTCCTAGAGGGAACCCAGTCCTGTTCCAGGGTCTGTGAGGGCGTCTCCTCCCCCACTCGGGGAGCCCCTCAGGCCAGAGCCGGTAGCATGTTCATCCCTCCTCCGGGGCCCAGTGCAGCACCGGGCACTGAGCTTGGGAATTGTTATTTGGACTGGGAAACGAGGGGAACTGGCCCCAGCCCCTGGCTTTTCAGGCTGTCTGGAAGGGGGAGGCATGAGGCCAGCTCGAACCCCGGTGGTGATGCTGGCCGCCAGGCTCTTTCTGCAGCAGCTAGAGCCGGTAAAAGCAACCACAGAGGTTCGGGACTTCCAGGCTTGGGAATACAGACCAGCCAGGCGGCTGCTGTGAGGACCACTCAGCTCCTAAGGGAAGTGAAAGGAACCCTCCGGACAGCGCTGGGCACTTCTTGGGAGGGGCGTCGGAATGTAGAAGACCCTTACCCCAGGAAGGGCCGGCTTCTTCACACCCCCGGGGGTCCTCTGCAGGTCTGCTGAGTACAAGCTCGAGCCGGAGCGGACAGCCTCCCACGTCCCTGGAGGAGAGTGACCACCCTCTGCCCACTCCCTGCCCAGCCATCCCAGCCCAAGCCTGCCTAGAGACTTCATCAGATTGAGAGGAGGCTGGAGCTCTGCCCTTAGCTCAAGGCTTACTTCCTAGCCCTGCCCACCATGTAGGATGCAGGGCAGGGGGCTCGGCGGGGTGTCCGTGTCCTGTTTCATCCCGTCCCCGTGTAGTGGTGTAGGTCTCTGCTTGTCCTGTGTCCTGTCCACTTTGTGGGGCTGTTAGAACATCAGGTGGCAGAGGATCACCACTCTTCAGGCCACACTGGGAGGTATCCACAGCTGTAGGTATTCTCTAGGGAAAGCCTTCAAGAAAATCTACAGAAAAGATACATGGTAAGGAGCCTCCTATTTGCAACAGCGTAGACCATAAGATACCTTCAAGTAGGCAGCCTGCAGGCTGTTCAAAATAGAATTCAGTCAACAAAGGGTGGTTTCCACAGTACTTCTGAATAACCCAGAAAATCAGAGAACACATAAATCTAGAGCAGGGAGCCTCCTGGAAATCATCTTCTACACCCCCTCGTTTTTTCAGATGAGGGGATGAACTTGCTTAATAAGTTCCCTGGGACTCCCGCTGGTAGCTTCTTGGGGACGTGTGTGCACGTGCGTGTCTGCAGCCACAGGCACTAGTAAATGGGCTCAACCTCAAGTCTCATTCTTCCCTGGGCATTGGAGAAACTCCCTCCAACCCTGTGAAGACAGGGTTGCGTGGTTGGTGGTGACATCTCTGCTGGGTGCCCAGACTCTCTCCCCACCCCTCCACTGGCCAGGTAAACTGAGGCTTGGAGCCACTTTGTCACTCAAGAGTTAGGCTCCCCTGTCACAGCACTGGCCCCACGCATTGTGACTGCGTGTCTTGTCTCCCATTGCCTGGGCGCCTCTGGTATCCGCAGCATGGAGTCAGAATCCAGAACAAAGAGCAGGTGAGAAGTGATTGTCCAAGGACTAGTGCACAAATGCAGCAGCATCTACAGATTCAGGAGTGGCCCCTCCCCACGTGCCCCCTCCCCACATTCTTCCTCCCCATGCGCCCCCGTCCCACGCGCCCCCATCCCACGTGCCCCCGTCCCACGCGCCCCCATCCCACGTGCCCCCATCCTAAGCGCCCCCTCCCCACGTGCCCCCTCCCCACGCGTCCCTACCCCGTGCTCTCATGCAGGTGCTGCCGTGGCCCACTTCCACAGCCGGCACAGATCCCCAGCCTCTTGGCCTCCCAGCCACCCATCCTCCCACCGTCCCCGCCCCTTGCCCTGGCACACACCACCACCACCCTCTCTTCCTTTGTAGCCTTACCCCCCTCAGGTCAGCCACCTCCAACTTCCCTAGGGCCAGGGCACAGGGTGGCACCCTGTCCGCCAATTGTCATGGCCGGAAGGCTGTGGGCCTCAGCCCAGAGGGGAGAGAGTGTGGAGGGACGTCCATGTGGGGCTGGCCATGCAGCTCCGGCTTGGGGTGCAGAGGACCCTCTCAGAGCTGGGCCCCTGGAGATGCATGGGCTGACCTGGGAGCCCAAGTTGTCTGACCTCTAACCTTCCAGGTCAGGTCAGCATGGAAGGGACAGTGGGAAGGCCAGGACACTTTGTAATTCTTCAACTGAACGTAGGCAAGGTGGGGTTGAAGCCATGCCCCCTTTGCAGCAGAAATTCATGGAGCTCTGTCCGAGGAATCCCTCCATCTCCATCTGGTCTGATTCCTGTGCTAATCTGCTTGGATCCTGCTGACTGGAGTGAGAGTTTCCAGCCAGGGCCACAGAACTTGCCTATGGACAGCCTCTATCGCACAGATTATTCCAGAGATGGGAAATGGAGACCCCAGGCACCAAGGGCCACAGTAGATTACATAAGCAGCTCTTATTCCCAATGTCCACCTGCCTCATCTGCCATTTCCTTCAGCTCTCCACTGCAATGCCACCTCCTCAGAGAAGCTTTCGGGCCTCCACACCCCCATCCCCTCTCCCCTGAGACTTTTCTCCATATCGCCTGATGGGCATGCATTTCTGTGTCTTTCCCCTGAGTTCCACAAGGGCAGGGACTTCTGCTGGTTAGTGCTATAACCATAGCACCCACAATAGTACCTGGCACATAGTAGGCATTCAATAAATATTTGCTGAGTGAGTGAGTGAGCAAGAGGCAGAGCGAGCTGCATTAGAACCTGAAATCTTGTCTGCCAGTTCTGGCTCTCCAGCTATGAGGCTCCTGACCTGACTCCTGAAGAGAGGCGGGTAGTAGGGAGGCTGGCCTCATCCGTGGAGGAATGGATGCAGAGACAGGAGGGCGAGCTGCCTTGTGGTCCAAGGTGGTTACTCAGGCTCCAGTTGTCAGGAGAAAAGAACAAGAAGGCTGCAGCTCTTCAGCTAGAAACCACACATACCCCATCCAGTTGCAGTCTGTTGAATGAAACCTGGTCCTGTGGTCACATGTAGCTGCAAGGGAAGCGGGAGGAGCAAGCTTTATTTCAGGCAGACATGTGCCTAACCAACAAACAGTGCTTTTGTTGTCAAGAAGTGAAGGATGATGGATATTGGAATAGGTCCCGGGCACATGGTATTATAGTCCTGCTCACTGGTTTTCTCTGCCCTCAGTCCTCATCTTGCAGTAAGGTCAACTTTGCATCTATCTGCACAAGTGAAACGAGCAGCTGGCCCCCATGACCTGAGGCTTTGCCACCTTCTGGCTCAGCCAGCTATGCCTTGGTCCTTGTTTTTTGTGGCTCCAGCCTTTTCGTATTGATGGAGCAGCTCCTTGTGATGCTCAGGGAAACCCAGCTCCCTGCCTTTCCAGTCCCTCAGCCATGAGCTGCACCAGTGAGCCAGGTGCCCTGGGGTCATCCCATGAGCAGGGCCTCAGCCAGGGCAAACATGGGGGGACTCCTGTCCCCCACGTTTCTCTGGATGGGAAAGAGGAGTTTCTGTGCCCCATGCTCCTCTTCCCACCTCAGCAAGGCTAGTGCAGGGCAGGGGGAGGTACCGTTCTTAGGACTTTGGTCCATGGACACTTGTGAGGACAGCAGCTGGAGGCCAGTCACACTGAAACCCAGTGGAGAGGTTCTGTGAATTGTTTTAGGGGCCTCCAAGAGGTTGGGATGCACTCCTGGTGGGGAAATCTAAGACTAGGTCAGTTTGGAGGGATCCAGTTCATATCCCATTCACTTGGTGAGGCTCTGCATTTATCTGTTCTATAGGGTTGGTCTCCACAAAAGAAGTCCTTTGAGAGAAGTTCTGTCTATAGTCAAAGAGGAGAAAAATAGAAATCTCCTGGCATAATGCCCTAGGCTTCAAAGTCAGAAGCTCGAATCCCAAGTGGCTCAGTAGTAAAGAATCCACCTGTCAATGCAGGGGTTCTCTGGGTCGGGAAGATTCCCTGGAGAAGAAAATGGCAACCCACTCCAGTATTCTTGTCTGGAGGGTTCCATGGACAGAGGAGCCTGGCAGGCTGCAGCCCGTGGGGTCACAGAGTTGGACATGACTGAGCAGCTGAGCACATTGTCGCTTACTAGCCTTGTGATTTCAGACTTGTTTCCTGGCCTCTGTTTCCTCCTGCCTTCCTCAGTGATTGTTGAATATTTCATATGTCATGTCAGTGATGGGCCTGACGTACTTTAGTTTTATTTCTTTGATTGGCTTCAGCTCTAGCCCAAGGTGAGGTGTGATGAAACAGACCCTGCCACTGCCCCCTCCCAAACTGGTGCATCTGCCATGGCCTCGCTGGGCTGAGCTTTCTTCTCCGTGACTTTTTCCCACTGAGCCACTGCAGCCAGGCCACTCAGGATGAGGGCCCCGGTTCTGTGGGATTAGTTTTACACCATGGTCCTGGATGAGGGTGGTTAGGGTGTGCTTAGCTAAGAAGGATCTCTGATGGTCGGGTCCCTTCCTTCCTAGTTCCCACCCAGGTGCTCCTCACCCCACCCTTAGAGGGCACTGCCCTTCACTTTTGGGCTTCAAGTCAAAACAGGCTTTCCTGAAGCCCCCTAGATCCTGACCCTGGCAGCTTCCGAGGTTCTTCTGCCCATCACGCTGTGAAATGCAGTCTCCCATCACATGGCTGTTTTTCCTTCAAATTTTATTTAGCTATAGCTGATTTACGATACTGTGTTATTTTCAAGTGGACACTTCAGATTCTTTCCATTAGAGGTTATCAATTAAACGTAGTTCCCTGTGTTTTTACAGGAGGTCCTTGTTCTTTATTTTTCATACAGTGGTGCTTATGCTTAGTTGCTCAGTTGTGTCTGACTCTTTGCGACCCCATGGGCTGTAGCCCTCCAGGCTCCTCTGTCCATGGGATTCTCCAGGCAAGAATCCTGGAGTGGGTTGCCATGCCTTCCTCCAGGGGATCTTCCCAACCCAGGGATTGAATCCACATCTCCTGCTTTGCAGGCAGAGTCTTTATCCACTGAGCCACCCAGGAAGCCTTTAGTCATTCAGTGGTGTCCAACTCTTTGCAACCCTATAGACTAGCCCGCCAGGTTCCTCTGTCCCTGAAATTCTCCAGGCTAGAGTACTGCAATGGATAGCCATTCCCTTCTCCAGGGGATCTATAGTGATGCATATCTATTAATCCCATACTCCTAATTTTAGCCTCCCTCCCCCTCTTCCCCTTTGGTAATTGTAAATTTGTTTCCTCTGTCTGTGAGTCTGTTTCTGCTTTGTAAATAAGTTGATTTGTACTATTTTCTAGATTACATGATAAATAATCTTTGTCTTTGTCAGACTTAGTATGAGAATCTCTTGGTGCAAATGGCATTATTTCATTCTTTTATGGTTGAGTAGTTATCCACTGCATGTATATATATAATACACACACACACACACACACACACACTACATCTTCTTTATGCACTTACCTGTCAGTGGACACACACTACATCTTCTTTATGCACTTACCTGTCAGTGGACATTTAGGTTGCTTCCTGTCTTGGCTATTGTGAATAGTGCATTTCTCTCTCTTTTTTTTACCTTGGATAAGTGCTCCTCCCGCCACCCATGGTCCACTACCCTGTCCAGGACGTGGGTCTGAATCTCTCCGTCTCAGTAGCTTCCTTTCTTCATCCATCCTCACCCTGACTCTGCGCCAAACTCCCAGCGACTCCAGCCAAGCCAACCAGTGAAGCATGCCGTTGGTCTTTCCACAGCCACCTCTATATTTTCTTTCTCCAGGGAGGGATGGAGGGGAGGCCCAGGGGTTTACAATCCAGCCTCTGATGAAAACCAGGCAACCAAGTAGTTCCTCACAAAGCAAGAGGTAGGAGGAAGGTAGGAACTCCTCCCGGAGCTGCCTTTGTTTTCTCCACAATAAATGCCCGTGGGCCATGACCCCGTGCCTCTGTTTACTGAGATGGTAAATCTGGGCTAGCACCATATGGGCTTTTTTTTTCCTGTCACATTTCAGTGAAATGAGCTGTGTCACAAACTGTCCAAAAAAACACTAATACTCCTCAAAAATTAATAACTATGCTCTCAGTAAATGTTTGATAAATGAATAAAATATTGTTTTATGAATAAAAGGGAGCCATGATCCAAAAAGTTTGGGAAATTCTGCCTACTCTGCTCCCCTTGGTGGAAAGTCAACACATACTAGGATCTGAAGTGGTCTGAGGGGGCCCTCATTACTTTTGTTTAACCCTGAGTTCCTCAGGCACACGTTAACCGTGGAACCTTTTCCTCTTCTCCTTCCTCTTTTTAATAGAACATCTATTGGGGGGATGCCAATGTGAAGGTAGTGACCAACTGTCCCAGTTTACCCAGGATTGAGAGATGGTCTGGGATGGGTGGGTGACTTTCAGAGCCAAAACCCAGACAGTCCTTTGTAAAGATCTGTGTGTGTGCTCAGTCATGTCCAACTGACTCTTTGTGACCATGGGCTGTAGCCCCACAGGCTCCCCATGGGATTCTCCAGGCAAGAATACTGCAGTGGGTTGCCATTCCCTTCTCCGGGAAATCTTCCCGACCCAGGGATCAAACCTGTGTCTCTTGAGTCCCCTGCATGGCAGGCAGATTCTTTACCACTGTGCCACCTGAGAAGCCCGTGTAAAGACCTGGACCAGGTCAAATGTAAAAACACAACTAGCTGTGTCTGGGGTGTTGCAAAACAAGATCTTCTATTTATTTATTACTTACTTGTGTATTTATTTGGCTGCCCTGAGTCTTAGTTGCAGCACACATTATCTTCATTGTGGCACTTGGCTTCCAGAGTGCAAGGGCTCAGTAGTCGCCCCCATGGAATGTGGGATCTTAGTTCCCCAGCTGGGCATCAAACCCGCATCCCCTGCACTGGAAGGCAGATTCTTA